GTCTTCCTGGTCGAAGTATTTCAAAGGCTCCCTTTGACACTAAATTACAAGTGTCAAAAACAACCCACCATCAGGCTGAGTGGATGAATGTTGTGTCCATGTTTGCATCGAGGTAAAACGAGGGTGGCACGGGAGGGGGTTCTAGCAGGTTCCGGAACAGAATCCACTGGCTTTTCTTTTACATTTGTGTGCAACAAAATACTGTTCTATCTTCTACTTTTGCAAACCAAGCGTGTGCAATAGGCATAGGCCAAGGACTGAGTGAGATTCATGCACATGTTAGAATGCACACAGGCCCTCTTTCAGGGCCTCAGGGGTGTGAAAGGGGCGTCAGAAGGTTGCCTGAGCAGTGGAGTTATTTGCGCTTTGCCCCTGCAGCTTCAGCTACACATTAATTTAAATTAACATTACTTTTGTTTAAGACTACCGTCACCACCACGACGGGAGGTGGCTAAAAATGTCAAATACTTGACACTCAAGTGTAAATGTATACACCCGCGTTGTAAATGGAGTGCTTTGTATAGATTTACATTTCGGTTGCTGAGAAAGTACGAAAGTAATTCAGTCAGAGACAACAGGTGTTTCCACAGTAGACCTGCAGAGGGGGCTTAGAATAATATTCATAAACCAGTATTACATGTAAATCTGTAGAAGCAGGCTACATAAGCTGTAGGGACGTACATGTAACCCCAGGCTGCCAAGTAGCTTATTGAGACAATATCCTGTCCTGGCTTATGCACCTTCAGGGCCTGCAGGCTGACAGGGTTACTGGCCAAATCTACCACTGCAAATTAGACAAGCACATGCAGCATGCAAATTGAAAGTGAGAAATTAAAAAAAAAAAAAGGTTTAGTTTATCTACTAGTACAACAGTGTGCTAATGTTTTTAGCAAGAAAGTTTAGCATTAGAAATTTGGTAAAAAGTCTAGCTGCCAAACCAAAAATGGGCTACTTATGGCTACTATGCTAAGTGGCTACTGTCTTATCGAGTAATAAATACGGTGTTCCAATACCTACTAGGTCGAGATAAAGTATCTAATGAGGTACATCTCAGTTTTGGAGAGTTCTATGGAACAGGACTTGCTAGTAATGTTGCTCTGCCTCTGCAAATGAAATGTGACTATCTATTTATTTTACAGTTTTGGCTAAAACCTAAACCGAGAGTGTTGTTCTGAAATTTTTCCAAACCTGGAAAACTTTTGTGCATCGGTTGGGCTGTGGCACAGAGACTACAACGGTGATGCAGAGTAAAAGCCAGTGATCTTGATCTTTTGAGTCAACGCTAAAACGGAAAATATGCAAAGTACTTAGACAGCCCTCTGGAAGACTGTGGCAACAGTTCCTCTTGGAGAGTTTCTAGTTCAAAGTTACAGAAACTGCAGCACTTCAATTACCAAACTTGGGGGGGGGGGGGGCAGGGGGGGGGAGGAAATATGTGTCATCAGTCATCTGAATGGTGCATGATCTTTAGAAAACATGATTCAGATGTAAAGAGGTATAACAAAGGTGTGGATTTGAAGGTTTTGACAACGTCAAGGATGATCAAATAGGAATAGCCAACACAAATGGTCCAACAGATATGGTCCTGTAACGTGCTAATTTAATCACTGATAAGAGGTTTAAAAGTAGTAGTGGTGGTAGTAGTAGTAGTGGAAGTCATAGTAGGAGGAGGCGACGGCTTCTAATAAATTACCTAGTGACTTTGTGGGTTGTGTAATGATTTAACAATGATTTCTAAAGTGATCACGTCAATGCTGGAACATGAGCTCTGTGTCCTACCAACATGACACATATTTTAATTCAATTAGGAGGGACAAGAACATCAACTTTCAGTTCCGAAAGCAAATCATAGTTTATTCAGAATCTGATACATTTGACTTTTGTCTTTCAATGACACAGAAAATAATACCCGAGCTGAACAAAGCCCATATTTCTGACGTAAATGTTACGGATGCTTCCCAGTCTAATTATTACATGTATTAAATATTTTTTCTCTGGTTAGGAATTAGGTGGGAAAAATCGCAAAGAAAAGTACTTTGTGAGACTGCAGGTATTTGTTTCACAATTGCATTCGAAGGAACAATAGTCAGGCACGGCCGTTTTGTGATTAATTATACAAAGAGCTAAAATGTGCTGACAAAAACCGTGTGGCTGACTTCTGAAAAGGCGCTGCCTGGTGTGGTTTCGTACACCCGTGTGATCGAGGCAGTGAATGTTCATCACTGTGAATGTTCAAATCTGTATCTACAGCTCATCTCTTTCATGAACTCCAAACATCTTTGTTCAAGTAGCCCCTTATCGTTTCTCACTCACTGTTCAGTTTGAAGCAGAGGCTGAAGTATGAGGTACAAAGCAATATCCACCATAACACTGTCAGGGAGCAGTGTTCTGTTGACCTTGTGAAATCATGCAGGCTGACACGGGGTGAAAAAACCCCACCATAATAGGAAGCGAAGAGGGATGGGGTGAAAAGCTGATTCACACCGCATGAAAAGGTATACTCAACATAATTAAATCGACTAAGTTGGCAGAACAAGGTAAACAAGGTTATTACAGTCCCGTAAATATAAACATGATATAGATTAAAATCCAAAAAGTCAATCCAAAGGTTTGTGAGTCTCCTGTTATTATTCTCCTGTTATGTTTCTGTTATATAAACTACCAGTCCAATACTTACATACTCAACTTTTTCAACAACATGCAATATGGTATGTTATCTAACATAGTTGAGAATGGCACGCAACTCTTTTCTCTCTTCCTCTCTCTATCTCACACACACAAGCTCACACACGGACACGCACACATACGCACAAAGGCTATTCTACACCCTTCCTCCATCTGCCCTTGCAGCATCATGAGGGCAGAAGGACAATGCTACTTGAGCTGATCTGATTGAACTACAAGGAAGAGCAACATACTGCGGCTACAGTAATGCTTGCTTTAGCGTAAATCTGATATGGGGATGTAACAGCAGGGACTGGACGCCACTCAAAATGGATGCACAATCACAGTCCTGATGAGACAGAAGCAGCTAGTAAAGTACGAGGCTAATACATTTTGCTATATTAGACCACCGCTGTATTGCGCTGAATCATTTTACTGCTGCAATAAACTGGTGACTTTTCTTTAATTTAAACATAATTCTTACCCAGGCTGGAACACTACACTTTACTCGAAACTATTAACAAGGACAAACCTTAATGATGTGAAACGCATCCGAGAAGAAATGAACCTCCCATAATTATCTAAACCTAATTGCTGCTAGTTAAGAAAACAATCGTACTCAGCAAAAACGACAAACAGATGGGAAGACATGTCAGTACAAAGTCCTCCAGTGTTTGGGCTGTGGTAGGATATGAGTCAAAAAGAGATAAGCATGAACCTGAATATGTTAGGGCATGTCTTTTCACAAAAGGAGTTAAACATTAACTGCTTGTCAATTAATTGCCCCTTAAGAATCTGGAATGATTCAAACATATCATTTGACAATATTTTTTTCTTCCAGAGGACGGTCCTCTAGATGTCAGTCCCCAAGATGTCACTTCTTGTGTACCATGACTTTGCATCCAACACTGTTGGAATAGTCAAAAAATCAGACCATAGAAAAAACTATTTATTGTATCGAATGCTAAAATGTCAATAAGATCTGCTGTCACTATCTTAAGTCATTTAATATTTGTGTGTATGTTCTGACCAATAGCCTTACTGTTTTAAGACAAATATTATTCATTAATGGCAAAAAATACCATTCCCTAATGGACGTTTGAAACTACAGTTCAGATAAAGACATGTGTGCCTTTTTCCCTTAATTAACCAATTACTGTAGATCAAATGATCAATTATAATTCGAATACAAGACGTCAAATCTCTTCACCCAGCTTCTAAATATTTGACTGAGATAAACAAATAATCTGATATGACTTTTCCTAAAATGAGCGAGGCCTGAAAATGAAGCAACATGTCACTCCGCAGCTTTTGTCAAAAATGTACAACAGCTAAATCCAGCGCCTGATACAGTCTCAACTCCTTCCTTGATGACATTAAGAATTTATAGTAACCCTGTTACGGGCAGGTGGACATTAACACTGTAAAAAGATAAAAATGGCTGAAAGAAAACCTTTCAGGTCAGGTCAAATGGCGACCATCCTCCTTCTCCACCCCCACCTCCCAGCAAGAACAATTAATCATGGGATAGATCAATACAAAGGATCCATCTCATAGCCCCTTTAACTCCTTTCATCAATTTCATTGGCAAATTCAACATGTGACAAAACAATCATTTAACATTCTCCGTTGTGTGTGGCTGCCACTAATAAAATTACAGTTAGAACAGCTGTAATCTGAAAGGGAGTGGCTAGGCTAAAACAGCCATTAACTAAGAATTAATCCTGCCGGGGGGGTGGGGGGGTGGGGGCGCAGGGCATCTCTTCTTCTTAAGAACAGTAGGAAATAGAGCATCCTTTATCAGTATCCAATGTTTGATATCTTTTTATTTTTCGACTCAAACCAAGGTGTCAGTTGACGACGTCTTCTTCAAGTAGCCTGCACCGTCACGTCCCACAAACCGTCTTTCGCTCTCTCTCTCCTTTTCACTTTTTCTGTCATTTTTTCACCCTTCTCCTCATCATAGATGCCTTCTCCAGTCCGTTCTCAACTCTCCAACCCCCCAACTCATATACATGGCACACACCACTGCAGTGACAGAGCCACATTAGTCATCATCAGGGACATACAGCTGTGGTAGGACCAAGCCCAAGCTGCTTTCTGCCGCTAACACGGTAACAAATGCATCATGTAAATCAGTGCCCTCCGCCATGTCTAAAAATAGCAGTGACTCCATACAATAAATTTAACTAATTATATAAAATACATTGTTTTATAATTAGATCAGCAATCAGGTACCGTAGCAAAAATCAATGTCAAGACATAAATGATCATACATTAAATTAAAAGGTAAAATCACATTATCATGAATTGTAGTCAATCAAAGGCACACTGACCTGAAAAGGAAAGATGTTATCACTTCGGCCGACTCCGTCATCCACCCAGGATTTGGGGTTGAAGCCTGCAGGACTATTTCGTGGGTACTTCTGGGATGCCACATGGTTGTTGGGGAAGGTCTTCTTCAGTGGAGAGATGGAGTTGATGGGGGTCATCCCACCATTCAAACCTCGGCGATAATCTCTGCCCTGAGTGCCTCCCCAGCCACCACCACCACTACCATAGCCTCCGCCAGGACTCCAGGAGGTAGAGGAGCCAGGGGATGGAGAGGGACTTTGATAGCTAGCTGGACCCCAAGGGGACGGTGGCTTATTCAGACTGTTGGACAAATGTGGCAACTGGTTGAACGCTGGATTCCTGTGCGGAAAGGGCGGTGGAGGATGTGGCGAGGCGGGGGATCGCCGATGTTGCTGGTGTTGATTGTGGGGGTGTTGGAAGTGGGGGTGAGGTGGAGGGGCAGGGTGGTGCTGGGACAAGGCTGCCGCTGGTCCTATTTGGGGGGAGAAGTTCCCACCAAACCCTGGACTTACATGGTGCGAGAAGTTTTGGAACAGCAGGGGCCCATTGTTGGCAGAGGCTGGGTTGAAGAAGCTCACATCCTCGTTAATGATAGTTGATGGCGCCGGTGGTATGGCAGCTGACCAGTTGTTGAAGCCAGTCAATGATGACGAAGTTGTACTGGACTGCACTGGGCCTGTTCCGAGACCAGATGTCTCCTGGTAATCAAAGCCTGGTAGGACCGGAGACTCGAGACGTAGCTGCTTCTCCTTACCATTGCTTACTTCAGACGTGCCGTTGTCCGTCTTGGCTTCTTCTGAACGTGCTTTTTCCAGTTCTGAAATGATTCCGCCGCCACTCCCACTATCTTGGTGACTCCCAGGGGACAGCTGCTGCTGCTTTTCTTGCGTTTCCTGCATTTCCTGTTGCTGCTGTGCTTTGGGCTTTTCGCCCCCCCCCAGGATTTCGTCTTGCACACTGTTGTGGGTGGCAGAGGCAGGGAAGAGCCAGGGAGAGCCTCCCGTGGTGCCATTCCCTGCGGCTGTGGTGCTGTTTATGAAAGCAGCTGGGCTCTGCGACACATTTTGGTGATGGTGTGGGGGCTGCAGATGCGGGTGGATTCGGACCGGGAATGCAGACTTGTTGCCAGTGTTGTTTTGAACTAGGACTCCGAACCCGTAATCCCCCATTTGTTTTCTCCCCCCACACACAAATGCTATCCCCTGATCGTTTGGTCCTATTGAAAAAGAAAGAGCACACAGGAGGGTATAGGAGTTAGCAGAGGGCCCCAGCCTTTCTATAATGTTAATAAAGTTCAATGGCTTTTTACAAATAACAGATATGACGGAGAGACACTTAATATCAGCAGAGAAGAGCTTTACAGTTTGACTCCCTGAGAGAATAAACAGACATATGATAATCACATAACACTGTCATGAATGAGCTTATTCTTGTGAGTGAACAGGCTAACCTTATTACTGTTGACAAAAGCAAAAACCAGTTAACATCTCATCTTTAGCTAATTATAACCCCGTGACGTTGCCAGCTCGTCTACAGCTGAGCTGCTGGCAGTCACGCGCACGCGCACACGGACGCACGCGCTCGCTCTCTATCTCTCTCTCACACACTCTCCCTCTTTTTCTCTCTCTCTCGCTCACCCTCACACACACACACACACACAATTGGAGACATTTTCCTGAAGCTAACCAGCTGACAGGCAAGTCATGACCTACAGTATTAATGCAAAGGGAAAAAGAGAAATAAAACGCCACGTATATGAATGTCGAAATTTCTAGAATCGAACGCGTAATTCTGACAGAACACAGTCGACCTTGTTTGACAGCTGCCAGTCCAACCTCAGAAATAACCGAAAAATAACTCCTACACTTGTTTGCCCTGTCTTTAAATACACCCGGACATCACTGTCACGCATCACCGTTCGTAAGTCTGCGATGAAAAGAAGACATTGAAGCCGTTTCAGTATAATATATAGGTTAAATGGGTAGCCATCGATCTCTGTCGTCGCTAAGGTTAGCCAGCTAACTATTAACCGCTAGCTCGGTTGCTAACTAGCCGCACCGGGTGCTCATAGGCATATAAAAATGGATTTTCACCTTCTGATCACCACCTTCGACCTCGGCGACGTCTTTGTCGAGATCCTTCCCGGGGCTGACAGCGAGGTGGTGTCCTAAAAGAGACGAGTGCGGCCGGGACAGGTTTTTCAGAGGCGATCTGGTGATAGCTGACTCGTACAGTGCAGTCGGTCAGCTTTTTTCCTCCCTTCTCCTGACGTGTCCTGCCTGCTCAATGACACTACACTCTCTCTGCCTCTGATCTGGATCCGATCACCAAGAAGCTTTGTTAACGTGGCAATCTATCAAATATAATCAGCTGCGGGACTTTAAACAAGCCTTATTCGATGTGGTTCATTGTTCGTTTGATTTCAATATATATCTTCTGCGCTGAGAGCCCGTTCCTGCAGCAGAGCCAGCCGATTCCTGTACGATTTTTCAGGCTGTCCCTCTTCTCCTGGAACCGACCGTGGCCGAATAACAGCGAGAGATCAGCGAAGACTCACTTCCGCTTCTGGCACCGCCCCTTGCATTGTTATCACGCCCACTGAGCCACACCTCGACCTGTAATTGGATATAGTGCCGGCAATCTCATCCGGTTTCTTCGTCACTTAACGGGCATCTACCAATTAAAATGCAGTGTCGGCATCGAGTACTTCCCACTAAGGTCGGAAAAAAGGAGAAATCCTCCCTGTCCTTTGACGATGCAGCCGGTATCAGGTCGTGAGAAAGCTGAGACCCCACCCCCAGTCCCGCATCACGAAAGGATGGCAGAGCCTCTGGAGGAGAGCTTTCATGTAACCGTCCTTTTAGATCGGTGTCCTTACGCACGCATCTAAATAAAAAACGTGTGTGCGGTTGTACAATCGTAGTGTCTGCGGTCATTCGAAGAGAGTGTTGACATTCTGCTCCATTCACCAAACCTGCAAAAACACAGCGTACAGACCTAAAAGGATGCTCTTCATCGAAATACACATCTGCTAGAGTCATGGGGAAGCATCACGGTCTCCTCCTTGTCTTGCTATAGGTTGATTCACTTGTGTTTAATGGATCTATGAGATGCTGAAGCAAAAATAACCTACATTAGTCCTAACAGGAAGTATTATATGGCCCAATGAGCTGGTCTTAATATTAAGTTTCATCCTTGACCGGTACACTGTATTTTCTTCCACAGTTAGCATGGCAAGAGATGACTTGTAATTTTATTATTTTAAACATTTAACTGGAGATTGGTTAATGGCTGACAGAGGACATTGTATGCATTTTGAGATACATCGTGTTATTGCAGTTGGCCTTCTCTTTTATCGTTCTGTATTCAATACGTCATGCTAATGACGACACATCACTCCTGGTTCTTTTCCACCCTGTTCTGTAAAGGCAAATGGAGCAGTGTTGTATTTCTGTCCTCCCCATGTTTTGCACAAGCACACAAAGGATGTGTAAAGGGAACAATGTAGTTATACTGTCTTCCATATCTTCTATCCAAGATGTGTGTGAAATAAAGCCTATACTTCAGACAATTGGGGAATGGCATATATGCATACATTTGATCTTCTTTAGAGTCTATAGGTATCATGCTATACTGTAGCTTTTATAACATGGTCATTTAAAAAATGGGATTTGACTAAAAGCACTTCTGCTTCTTTTAGACTGTTTGATGATGATGATGAATATACAAGGACGAAGTACGGCTGGAACATGTCAAAATGTGTAAAGTATTTGTAATTGAACAGATGATTGAAAAAGGAAGCTCCAGAGTCATCCCCCATTGCTGACCATCATAGCAGTTTCTGATACAACACGTGACTTATCTCTCGATAATTTCAATCTCCCCTATGTTCGATAGGAAATTACAACCCTGTTCATCTTCAGCATCTGTCTGTGTCCACGCCACTCTGCCAGACGTTTCTTCTTCGGCGACCCACGCCATTCTGTTCGTTTATTTTTTTCCATTCTCCGTGTCATCCTCTCTGTGTCCTTCTCCGCTCTAGGTCATTATCACTCCGAGGTCATCAAACAGGTTTGACTCTTGTCAGTCCTTTCAACCCATCACCTTCATAGCCACAAATGGCTATCTTATAAATCTGTCACTTCAAGTCCA